TGACCCTTCTGTAAGGGGATGTCCAGTTGCCCACAGATGGGCTTTGGGTTTCCACTCCGCACTCCCCCTCATTCACCATGATAGGATTTTTTTGTTCTGGGTCTTTGATGCCTGATACCTGATCCTATCTGCACCCTGTGATCACACAGCCTAGTGTACTTATTCCATGTGGGCTTTGTTGCTTCTCAGCACTTTGGCTTTCACAACTATCTTAACACTCAGGATCTGCTGCTGATCTGCGGGGCTGATTAGCCGGTTGGTATGACTCTTCATGCTGGGAAGGAAAACCCCAAACCATGTTCACCTCCTGTGTTCTTTTACAAAATCCTTTCATGATCATCGCCACCCAGAGGGGCCAGCATGTTCTCTTTGTTATTTGTACAGTCACCCAGTAGCTCCCCACTCCATAGCCTGATTGTGTGCCTGCTCCCTGCGTCTCCCACTTTGGGTTAAGTCCATTCTCTTGAGAGATCTCCAGCGCTATCTGATTACCCAACAGCTAGTGGAACAGTGAGCTACCGAGTTAGGCTACTAACCACAGGTTGGCTGTTCAAGCCTACCAGCCACCCCACAGGAGCTAGATGAGGCTTTCTACTCCCCTAAAGATGTCCAACCTCAGAAACCCATAGGGTGCAGGTCTACCTTGTCCTAGAGGGTCACTAGGAGCCAGAATGAACTTGATGGCAGTGAGTGCATGATTTGGGTGAGAAGATTTCTGGTAGTTTCTTACCTCTCTCATTTCCCTGTGAGCCCTTCAATCAACAAGTGCTGAGTCCTATGGCTGCCAGATTCCTGGGGCTCAGCTGTGGCCCGGAGGTCAAGATGAAGTTAAGCTGTGGCCCTCTCTCCCTCAGGACCATCCTGCCTCAGGGAAGGCCCTATTGGACTCCCTCCCTCAACGCGGTCCTCATTCCCACACCCAGCAGACCCTCCACTCCCGAGCTGCTCCACGCTGACTGAGTTAAATTAGGCCTATGGCCTTGTAGACTGACTGCAAAGTAGCTGCAGCGCTGCCATCAGCCTTGGACAGCAAAGGACACTTTCATGATCATGGCTAACATTTCCTGAACGTGTGAAAAGTAGCTGAGTTGAAATCAACTCCATAGTAGTGGGTTTATCCTATGGAAAACCCTATTCTTTTAAAACAAAACAAAACTTCAAATGTATTTGCACAGTATCCATGACATGGGTATATTTATCTTCATGGTAGAAATGAGGAAAGTGAGGTACAGGAAGCTGAACTTGCCCAAAGTTGGCAACCATCAGGATTTGAACCAGGTAGTTTTAATCTAGAATCACTTCCTTTAAACCCAATCTGGTGAAGCCCATTATGGTCAATGCTGCTATGCCCACTTTTGTGAGCTTTTGAGAACAATTTTTAAAACGAGTAGAAATGGCCTCTCCAGACACAAGGTAGAAGGGTCAGTCGGGCAGGGCAGTAGGAGGAGCCAGCTTCTCGGCAGAAGTCTTTATCAGCAGTGACGTGGTAGGTGCTGCTGGTCAAGGGCCCGGAGTAAACTTTCACCCCCAAGGAAAGGGGCAGGCCAGAATGATGCAATCAGGACATCTGGATCTCCGGGCGAAAGAGGAAACAGTCTGGGTCATATTGCAGTCTGAACATGCCGTCCGAACCGCTGGGGTGTCCCCTGCACCTGGGTGGGGTTTCCAACCCTTTCCTGTTATCTGCGGAGGAACCTGCCCTTGTGCCAGGAAGCCCTTGCCTTCCGCCCGGGCCCGCCCGCAGCGGCATCAGTAAGAGAGCGTCTGGAACTTGGCTCAACAGCCGTGTGTTGACAGCCACAGAGCTCACGCAACTTGAGAGCAAAGAAAGAAGTGAAATGCCCACCCCCACCCCCCACCCCCGATCAGGCATTGATCTTACTGGGCTGCGTGCTGCTTTGAGAATATTCCAGACCCAAATTTGCCTTGGACAGTTTCGTGGACAAATGCCTCTATATCGTCTTGATTCCCAAGTGCCACCGTCCTGATGCGTCCGTCGGGCAGTTGACTGAAAATGGTCGCCTACTGTGATTGTCCCCGCCTCAGTGTCGCGCTGGGTCCTACAACGTCTCAACTGACGCCATCCGAAGATAAAAGTCAGGTGCAGCCTTCGTCATCTGCAGTGGAAATGAGCTCTGTGGGCCTGTGTTGGGGGCTCAGTGGAGGAGGCCTGGCTGCAGCTGTGCCCAGGCTTGTGCCCCCGCCCCTTTCCCCGCTTCTTTCTTCCATGGGTCCATCAGTGCAAAGGCTCACGGAGGTCAGCTCCACTGCTGCGTGGGCCAGCCCCACTCCATCTCCTCCATCTCCTCCACTTCTGCCGCCCTCTTGTCCTCACTCTCTCCATCGGGGCAGTCAGTCCATTCTTCCCTCCCTCTTTCTCCTATTTGATTGTCAGGGCCAGTCTTCCAACCACCAAGATGGCAGGTAAATGTCGGGGAGTCATTTGACAGGTCCTTTTTAGAGCTCTGCATTGACAGCCATTTTTTTCTGTGTACCCCTCGCCTGTGTCAGCTCTTGCCCTGGTCGCCGCCACCCACCATGGTTCTCAGAGGCAAGAAATCACCATGCTGAGGACCACAGACGAGTGTATGCAGTCAATTCCCCAGATTTCAGTGTTTTCATTTGTGAAACGGGGGGAGGGGGTGGTGTGAAAGCCGTACTCGCCTAACTTGTGTGGAGGGAGGCTGGTGGAGCAGTGAGTTACGTGCCGGGCTGCTAATCACGAGGTCAGCAGGTGGAACCCACCAGCCCCTCCATAGGAGAAAGAGGAGGCTTTCTACTCCTGGGAAGATTCACAGCTGCGAAAACTCACACAAGCAGGTCTACTCCGCCCTCGAGGGTCGCTACAAGTCAGAATTGACTCCGTGCCAGTGACTTTGATTTTTTATTTTTTGATAACTTGTCTTAGCATAGTGACCAAATTGGACAGAGTGGAGCTGTCCCAAGGCTTTCTGAAGCTGTGAACCTTTATAGAAGCGAACTGCCTCATCTTCCTCCTGTGGAGATACTGCTGGATTGAAGCCACCAGCCTCTTTGCTTCGCCACGCAACGCTTAACACGCCCTGCCAGCAGGTCTCGTGGGGTATGTATGAGTTGAAATCAATTTTACAGGACTGAGTACTTGGTATTATGACTGTGGGGTTATTTGTGATGTTGTGTGTCAGGTACTTAATACAGTGTTTGGGCAGAGAGAACGCGCAATCAGGATTAGCTGCTGTTGTCCGCTCCGCAGAGGAGGGGCAAGGTGCTTCTGATGAGCAGAGTGAGATGGCCATGTTCTGTTTCACCTGGTGAGGAGGCGGTGCCAGTTCTCAGCTGGAGGATTTGTCTTTGGCTACAAAGGTAAAACTTCTCCTGGATGTTTGGAGTCTGCCCTGTCCTAATTGACCTGTAGGATCCATCTTAAATGTGTCACTCTGTTGCACATTCT